TGGTTAAGTGTGGTCATGGGACAGGGACATGGTGTAGTGTGATCATGGGACAGGGACATTGTGTAGTGTGGTCACGGGACAAGGACATGGTGTAGTGTGGTCATGGGATAGTGAGAATGGTGTAGTGTGGTCATGGGACGGGGACATGATGTACTGTGGTCGGGGACAGGGACATGGTGTAGTGTGGTCATGGGACAGGGACAAGGTGTAGTGTGGTCATGGGACAGGGACATGGTGTTGTGTGGTCATGGGACAGGGACATGGTGTAGTGTGGTCATGGGACAGAGACATGGTGTAGTGTGGCCATTAGAGAGGGACATTGTGTAGTGTGGTCATGGGACATGGACATGGTGTAGTGTGGTCATAGGACAGGGGCATGGTTTAGTGTGGTCATGGGACATGGACATGGTGTAATGTGGTCATGGGACATGGAGAATGGTGAAGTGTGGTCTTGGGACAGGGACATGGTGTAGTGTGATCATGGGACAGGGAGAATGGTGTAGTGTGGTCACGGGACAGGGACATGGTGTAGTGTGGTTATGGGACATGGATATGGTGTAGTGTGGTCATGGAACAGAGCGATCGTGTACTGTGGTCAGGGGACAGGGTCATTGTGTTGCTGTGGTTATTGGACAGGGACATGGTGTAGTGGAGTCATGGGACAGGGACATGGTGTACAGTGGTCAGGGACAGGGACATGATGTACTGTGGTCGGGGACAGGGAGATGGTGAACTGCGGTTGGGGAAATGGACATGGTGTTCTGTGGTCATGGGACAGGGACATGGTGTACAGTGGTCTTGGGACAGGGACATGGTGTTCTGTGGTCTTGGAACAGGGACATGGTGTACAGTCGTCATTGGACAGGGACATTGTGTACTGTGGTTAGGGACAGGAACATGGTGCACTGTGGTCATTGGACAGGGAGACGGTGTACTGTGGTTTGGGTCGGGGACATGATGTACTGTGGTAAGGGACAGGGACATGATGTACTGGGGTCGTGGGGCAGGGACCTGGTGTACTGTGGTCATGGGACAGGGACATGGTGTAGTGTGGTTGGTGGCAGGGGCATAACATACTGTGGTCATGGGACAGGGACATGGTGTACTGTGGTTAGGGACAGGGACATGGTGTACTGTGGTCATGGGACAGGGACCTGGTGTACCGTTGTCATTGGACAGGGACATGGAGTACCGTTGTCATTAGACAGGGTTATGATGTACAGTGGTTGGGCACAGGGACATGGTGTTCTACGGTCATGGGACAGGGACATGGTGTACTGTGGCCTTGGACAATGGCCTGATGTACTGTGGTCATTGGACAGGAAATTGATGTACTGTGGTCATGGGACAGGAAAATGATGTACTGTTGTCATTGGACAGGAACATGGTGTACTGTGGTCATGGGACAGGGACATGGTGTATTGTGGTCATGGGACGGGGATATAGTGTACTGTGGTCATGGGACAGGGACATTTTGTACTGTGGTCATTGGACGGGGACATGATGTACTGTGGTCATGGGACGCGGATATAGTGTACTGTGGTCATGGGACAGGGACATGGTGTAGTGTGGTCATGGGACATGGACATGGTGTAGTGTGGTCATGGGACCTGGACATGGTGTAGTGTGGTCACGGGACAAGGAGAATGGTGTAGTGTGGTCATTGGACGGGGACATGGTGTACTGTGGTCATAGGAAAGGGACATGGTGTACTGTGGTCATGGGACGGGGATATAGTGTACTGTGGTCATGGGACAGGGCCATGGTGGACTGCGGTCATTGGATGGGGACATGGTGTACTGTGGTCAATGATGTGAAAATCCAAATGGAGTTAGAACAATGATTAATTTCAGGCTTGCCAATAATTCTAGACTTGAGTTGGATTCCTATATAAATTTATTCTCTTGGGTCTGGGAGACGGACTTATGTATGGTATGCCCTTCCACTAGCCGTACACCAAGACCGTGTGGAGTACCCTGTCTGTACTCTTCCAATGGCCGTACACCAAGACCGTGTGGAGTACCCTGTCTGTACTCTTCCAATGGCCGTACACCAAGACCGTGTGGAGTACCCTGTCTGTACTCTTCCAATGGCCGTACACCAAGACCGTGTGGAGTACCCTGTCTATACTCTTCCAATGGCGGTACACCAAGACCTTGTGGAGTACCCTGTCTGTACTCTTCCAATGGCCGTACACCAAGACCGTGTGGAGTACCCTGTCTATACTCTTCCAATGGCCGTACACCAAGACCGTCTGGAGTACCCTGTCTATACTCTTCCACTGGCCGTACACCAAGACCGTGTGGAGTGCCCTGTCTATACTCTTCCACTGGCCGTACACCAAGACCTTGTGGAGTGCCCTGTCTATATTCTTCCAATGGCCGTATCTCAAGACCGTGTGGAGTACCCTGTCTATACCCTTTTAATGGCCGTACTCCAAGACCGTTGGGAGTACCCTATCTATACCCTTTCGATGGCCGTACACCAAGACCGTTGGGAGTACCCTATCTATACCCTCCCATTAGCCGAACTCCCAGAGCGTGTACAATGTATATACCCGCCTATTCAATGTACCACTAAAATGGACGCTGTATATTCAGTCGAAGCAGACTGCGTGTACACTTTTAATACCTTCCTATTCGCCCTACCCATACAGCGAGTACTCTGCACATGGACTGTCTGATTGGCATTTTGTTTTGAATTTCCAACCATAGCAGCCGCTTCCTCAAGCAGCAGCCGACATGTGAACGTATTTCACCAGTTCTACACACCGTAAAACGACACTGAAAGCCAATGAGAGGAACACTACAAACCAACACGAGCCTAACTGTGAAGGGGTGAAACCTCCCGCCCCATAAGCGTCAGAATAAAAGAACATAAAACATCTACCACCAAATCAGACCGAAAATCAGCTTTCTCAGACCACATCATCAACTGCCCAATCACAACATCATGTGGGGCAATGACCAAGTCCTATCTAACCATTTCGATGACTTCCGGACCAGTGATTTAAAGCCAACTCGTCACCCCGAAGGCCCGGTTTCGATTCCCCACATGCGTACAATGTGTGAAGCCCATTTCTGATGGCCCCGTCGTGGTATTGCTAAAAGCGACGTTAAACCATACTCACTGACTCACTTCATAACTTCACCAAACGAAAACTAGCAGAAGCAGCTCAAATCCGCCGACAAAAGTCGTCAATAAACAGAGATCAAGGATACCTAATCCCGTCTACCTACAATGAATTGATAAAACAGAATGCTCTATGTATGTATGACCTCTAATCCTATCAGCATTGTATATTTGTACCATTTGCTTCTTTCTGTTGTTTCTGTGTCATCCTTTGTTGTTGTTAATCCCTTTGATGTCTACTCTCATGTTCTTTTTGTCAATCCTTATGGATGCATGTAACCCTGTAATCTGCTGTCTTACTTTACTCTTGCTTGACAACGGTATGAGGATCTACACCGAAACGTTGCATTATAATACAACACAGAAGTTGTCATCCAAACATATCTTGTCTTTACTGTTACTCTATATATACCCTTCCATTCGATATACCCATAGAGCGTGTACACTCTACAGATACCCTTCCATTCACCATACCCATAGAGCATGTACACTGTATAGATACCCTTCTATTCACCATACCCATAGAGCATGTACACTGTATAGATACTTTTCCATTCACCATACCCATAGAGCGTGTACACTGTATAGATACCCTTCCATTCACCATACCCTTAGAACGTGTACACTTTATAGATACCCTTCCATTCGCCATACCCACAGAGCGTGTGCACTGTATAGATACTCTTCCATTCACCATACCCACAGAGCGTGTGCACTGTATATACCCTCTAATTCGATATACCCATAGAGCTAGTACCCATATATACCCTTCGATTCGCCATACCCAAAGGGCTTGTGCATTGTATGGATAACCCTAGAGTGTGAGTGTACCCTTCAGATTATCTTCTAAATATTTATCTGTTTATACGAAGAAGTACTAAAAGTTTAGTTCCAACAAAATGTAGAAGTTTAAATACTTTATTGAAATGCATTTATACTTTTTGTACATTCAACAATTTTTGAAAGATGTCTTCAATTATTTTGCCTAATCAGGAAATAAACACTCAATAGTGAATGTAATTCGGTATTCAATATTGAATTTAGACGTTTAGCAAGTGGCAAATACAGCAAACATCGTATTGTCAGACGGTCCAGGGCCACCATGTCCCTTTATCAAAACTACATCTACTGTGGGGTGCTATTTTGACATCATGAATGACAAACCTGCACAGAAACTGATTTGATTATTTTCACCCCAGTAATGTCCTTCTCTATTGTGTAGTTCCCCTTCAAAGAGCGTCATACGACTATTGCTCAAATTATGGAAAGAGTTTTGTCGATTTAAAGGACCGACAATTTGATATTCTAAGGGGGTGCCTAAGGTTTCGAAATATGATTAGATATTTTGTTCAAGCTACAGCCTAGATTTTTCAAAAAGAAAAAAACAACCTTGCAACAACGTAATTTCTTTCACGGGAAATTTCTATCTTTTGCATCAGCCTGTAGCAGAATTATTTTCTTCTATGTCTTATGGGGACAATGTATTCGATAAAACCCCAGACCCCCCCCTCCGGCCCACCCCACCCCTCAAAATTTGTACGAACACGCATCCTTGGAACATCACGCATGCCGCAACTACAATCGTTTAACATATGTTCTAAACAATATGTGATAACCTTTATATCATGTGAACCAACTTTCTTTATTCATCATTAGTATATGCATGAGCATTCAAGCCATGTGGCTACAAACAACACATAGGTTTGTGCAGAAACTCCAGACACAAGACATCAGTGATTGGAACAGTTGACATGAGTCCTACCATTGGACACTCATCAGTACTGTTGTTTAATCGTGAACCAGGAGCTGATTGTTTCCACTGGGCACTCATCAGTACTGTTGTTCAATCGTGAACCAGGAGTTGAGTGTTTCCACTGGGCACTCATCAGTACTGTTGTTCAATCGTGAACCAGGAGTTGAGTGTTTCCACTGGGCACTCATCAGTACTGTTGTTCAATCGTGAACCAGGAGTTGAGTCCTCCACTGGGCACTCATCAGTACTGTTGTTCAATCGTGAACCAGGAGTTGATTGTTTCCACTGGGCACTCATCAGTACTGTTGTTTAATCGGGAACCAGTGGTTTAGTGTTTCCACTGGGCACTCATCAGTACTGTTGTTGAATCGGGAACCAGGGGTTTAGTGTTTCCACTGGGCACTCATCAGTACTGTTGTTTATTCCGGAATCAGGAGTTGATTGTTTCCACTGGGCACTCATCAGAACTGTTGTTTAATCGGGAACCAGGAGTTTAGTGTTTCCACTGGGCACTCATCAGTACTGTTGTTGAATCGGGAACCAGGGGTTTAGTGTTTCCATTGGGCACTCATCAGTACTGTTGTTTAATTGAGAACCAGGAGTTGATTGTTTCTACTGGGCACTCATCAGTACTGCTGTTTTATCCGGAACCAGGAGTTGAGTGTTTCCACTGGGCACTCATCAGTACTGTTGTTCAATCGGGAACCAGGAGTTGAGTATTTCCACTGGGCACTCATGAGTACAATTTGTTTAATCGGGAACCAGGAGTTGAGTGTTTCCACTGGGCACTCATCAGTACTACTGTTCAATCGGGAACCAAGAGCTGAGTTTTTTCCAATGGGCACTCATCAGTACTGTTGTTCAATCGTGAACCAGGAGTTGAGTGTTTCCACTGGGCACTCATCAGTACTGTTGTTCAATCGTGAACCAGGAGTTGAGTGTTTCCACTGGGCACTCATCAGTATTGCTGTTCAATCGGGAACCAGGAGTTGGGTGTTTCCACTGGGCACTCATCAGTACTGTTGTTCAATCGGGAACCAGGAGTTGAGTGTATCCAATGGGCACTCATCAGTAGTGTTGTTTAATCGGGAACCAGGGGTTTAGTGTTTCCACTGGGCACTCATCAGTACTGTTGTTCAACCAAAGACTACAGTATGCTGGACACTCTAGAAGTAGCCCAGATTTACGATAGTGGCCATCAGTTATTCGAAACGACCACTGGCGCATCAAAGCCGTTAATTTACCTTCCTGTTTGAAATTAAATTTCTGCAGTTTGATACAGACTTTGAAGCCTCATTGACCGTAACACCGTTAGAGAACAGTGTGATCACACAAGGTCGCTGCCCTGGCCACCTTTGTACCAACGACTAACGTGTTACAACCGCTGTAAGCTCAGGTTGCAATATAGGAATTTTCAATATAATAGTATTGGCTTTATGATATCTTGGTGTAAGTTAAACCTGGAATGGAACTGTCATCACATTGACTCTTTACGAGACTACGATGAACGATGAAGCCATCCTCTGGGCCTGCCTTACTGCTGCCCACAATGTCTACATTCAGCTGTCCGCTGGCTTGGCTTCAGTTTTGGACTCAAAACAACATACAGTTCCTTACTGGATAAATATTTACATATTTCCTTTTTTCTGTTGGATGGTGTCGATCATGACTGATAAAACATGCATGCCATGTTGCAGATTGACTGAAGTCCACTTGGCCATGTTTACGGAAAGTCTGTATTCAAACGGGTCATCTGGGCTATCGTCGAATAGGCATAGCGTGTCGGACATCTTTAAACATACAACTTTCTGGGCGTACCTGGAATGAAACAGGATAGATTGTTTAATATACGGTAAAGAATAACATTAACAGATTTAAAGAAACTATTGAGTAACCAAATATAAAACTGTTTGTATTCTGGATAAAAAAGTTTACATTCTCATGATTCGTTTCATAGTTATTCATATGTGTGTAAGGCTGGAATTTACCGGTACTAGATGAACAAGCTGGAACGGATCGTATAAGAGTTTTATTTCGAAAATATATTTTGTCATAAATATTTCAAAAGCATTACCAAACTTGTAACATAATATCGCGTTGAAAGGGTACATAGACTTTTGACGACATCCATTTCAATAAAGTGTGTAGTTTTTTTTCGGTTAAGAGATTCAAAATCTAACATCTGTCAAGAAAAATGACAAATGACATATTTGGGATTACTCCTAATGACATTACAAACAGATGCCTTCAAAGGAGTTGCATATTTGTTTTAGAAAACTTGCTGACAAAATGCTGTTGCCTTTCGAAAGCACATATGGCTGAAGGCAATAGGGACAAACCGAATCCCATTCTACATGCTTTGTGTCGTTATTCTGAAAGATCAATTCTTTATAATGTCATCCTTGGCAAATATTCAACAGTAACTTATACTGAATGTAGTGAGTATATATTTTGTTGCCACTGTGGCTGTGGGGAAGACCTCTAGATCTAGCAGGGACACAAATAGGCTACAACCCCTCTACAACCAATACAAGTTTTTCAAGTAGCTATTTTCCACACACATTTTTTTCACAGGATTAGTTTAGGTATTGTTTACACTACCCCGTGCCAATGTATTCAACCAATATTGTTAAATCTACTGCAGCACAAATATAACAGGTTCGTAGCAAAGCGGAAAGCACATACTGGACGAAATAAAGATAGCCTGTTTGGGGAACATGGCTGTTTATTTGTTAGTTTATTCTCCTATAAGACCCCGTATGCTTTACGCACTCCACACTTATCACGGAGGTTCTCTGTGCCCGGCTCTTCCTTAGTGAAATACACACTATCGCAATACATATTTATGTTTGGGGGATTTATGTGCAGACCCGTCAACCGTATCCCCGTGTTTTGTTTTGACAGCTGTTAAGGTCACAAGAAACGCTATGAGAGATCCGTTTATCAGAGAAAGTTAAATATGGCTGCTGCAATGGAGTCCTTTGTATGGGAAATTGCACGTGCTTAATTTGCTGTCCCACGTCGGAAGGTGTCCCTCAACCATGTCGGTCTCTGGTTTGAGTCCAACCTTCGCAGTTTATTGTTTTGGACATGTTTGATGTTTCTCGGTCTACTTTATCAGTTTCTTTACATTGTGATGTGGACACATGTTATCAATTCACATATACATGGGAGTGTAAAGTATATTTGTTCGTAATGAATGTGATTCTCTGAGTATTGAACCGCGAACATAATCTGTATAACGCCAATCACGGACGTACATGTATATACGTCTTTGCGCCAATCAATTTGAAGCAGGGCGTGTGGCCTCAGCACACCTATGTCATTTACAATATGCTGAGCAAAAACTAATAAGTAGAGACCGTGACCGAATGTGTAAAATCCCCATTAACACTTCATTGCCGACGCATTAACCAGCACGGTTCGTTCACTTATCAAGTGTAAATTAGTTGTGAGATTCCCCAAACTGAGCCCTTGGGCACCAATAAATCTAGTATTGATTATAAATTCTAAATACACTGCATTAAAAAACTAGCTATGTGGTAATTCCCATAAGGGCGTGCAACAGGCAATTTTTTGTCTGAAGCATAATTATTTTTTTCAAGCATTTTCGGGGACAAAATATTGTTTGCTGAGTGAGGCGTTAAACAACAAACAAACAAACGAACATTGATCAACAACAATGACAGTTTTGTTTTGGAATTAATAAGGAAATTTAGGTATCTTTGAGGGTAGCATCGGTAATGTTGACGACGTATTGGCAAGTTAATTGCTTTGAATTCTGCGATTTTCCTTTACACCATTTTGACTGACACAAACTAATGATTTCACCTGAGCCCTGTTTATCCCATCGTGTGTATATGTTACAAGCACTGTGTTACATGACTAAACCTTTTCACTTTGGCAATTTATGAAACGCTTAAATGTTTCAGTTACTTTACAAATTGAATGAAATATCCGTCCATTTAGTTTATTATGATAACGAATTCAAACATTTTGATGTTTAATTTCATCAACCAGTGACTTAATGATAGGATTAAAAGAAAATGAAAGTCAACGTACTTGTAATCCTAGCTAATTGTGATAATTTTAAACCATTTTGAACTTCTTAATATCTTTTAGTAAATACGTTAAATAAACGGACACTCGGTTTGTATAATGACAAATTGCCTTGTGTATTAAAATTACACATTGAGTATGCGACATACACGTCTACAAACGAAACGGCTTGTGAATTTTCAAATGGACGGACTGTCACGCAAACAGAAACGGACGTAACTGGAGTTTCCGTGTTCATGCCAAGCTAACAAACCTCTCATTAGAACACTTCATTCCATTGGACAACTGTTTTAATATCAAAATCATTGTATTCGAAGTAGCTGTCAAACTGATGCAAATCTACGCGCAGGACTCGAAAAGTAAAGTGCAGCAACCGCATAGTCAACGTGGCAACGGTAGAAATAAACTGAGTATCTATCAACATTTTAAGTTCACCTATGAAGCTGAGTGGCACGTACAGAGTTCCCTCCCCTGGTCGCAAAGACGTTCACTGACTCAACTGCGTTGTGGTGTGGCGCCTTTAAGAGTAGAAACAGGAAGATACGAAAACTTGCCATTTGTATAAAGGGTGTGTTTTACTTATAAAGAGTGTGTGGAGCATGACTATCATTTCTTGTTACACTGCCCTTTTTATAATGAAATTAGAGCACCATTATTAAGACGATGTACTCAAGTCTGTTATATTTTCAATGATTATTCTGATGTTGAAAAAGTGTCTTTATACTGATGTACTGTTCTTAGTTGCCAAGACCTGCAAACTTTTATGACAAATCTATTTTATATCATGGTGTGTAAATTGCTGTTGTCTGTTTTGGAATGTGTTTTGGTTTATTTAATGTTTTATGCGCCTTTTAGTAAATAGTTTTATGCAATTCGCAATTCCATTTAATAGTCTCTCATAACCCATAGACGGATGGCTCTGTGTTGTTTATTTTACTATGTCATTTATTTTAATATGTAAACAGAGGTGAGACTGTAACAAACAATCTGTCAGTCTGTCTTTCTGTCTGTCTTCGAAGAACTTCCCAACGATAACCAAAGGGAACTAGAATGATTCTGTTCAAAGCTACAGCAAATGAATGAAAACAAAAAGAAAATATCGTATTTACAACCGGTAAAAGTTACATAATAATTACAATATAAGGCAATTACCTTTTTCGAGGAATGTATCCACATAAAGGAAGAATATCCCATACATATGCAGCCGTATAAAGAAACTTGTTCAAAGTCTCTTTTCGGGATATTTTAACTCGAGTTCGTTTCTCAAATGATCACGGAAGTTTTTTTCAGGTGTTTCACATAGGTGTTTGATCTGCTGAGATAGTACACGTGACAAATATTTTCGTGAAGTTCTTTAACATGTCCATTAAGTCAGGTAAAAATGAGTGGGTGCAGGAGAATGGTTCCAGACAATTTTTGAGAAAATGGCCACAAATTGTTTCAAAATGGCCCCATGTTTAGGAGAAAATGGTCCCACAATTTTGAGAAACAAAACTAACACAAATCTGTGGTGACTTCGTTTATTTATCTTCATTTTACTATTGTTAAGACATTTAGACTACTTATTGATATTCTGGAATGTCACTATGTCAAATGGTTTCAAAGTCCATCTCCAACTCTTCCTAACGTTGTGGTATATGGATGCCAGTCTAACAAATGGGAGATAACCATGACAACAAGGGAGTAGAGATTGTTGTATCATATGCAGTATAATTAGTCATTGCTGTTGTGAGCATATGAACTGAACTTCATTGTTCATTGCAAAAATAATAAGAACACGTATTTGCCGTATATTAAAGAACATAATGGTACATACACATTTACTTTAATGGTTTGCTTTTGTTACGCCCCGCCCAAATGAAGTTTTGTTTGCGAAGCATAACTCATAAACCATTCAATATTTCTTTATGCAACTTTGTATACACATCAGGTATACACTGATCTGGTGCCTTGTGCTATTCAAAAATGATTTGTTTTACGTTTCCATGAGAACAAGTTGGACTATAAACGATGGTATGGGTCGTTTCCAGAGCATAACTCACAAAAAGTTCCTCATTTCTTTGTATCATGCAAATGCTTAACTGGTTGGTTTTGCAATTAATATGTTCTTTTTAGATTTTGCGTCAACAAGTTGAACTAGGGTTCAAATGGTGGTTTTATTTTGCGGGTTAGTCATCTGTAATTATGTCAGTCGTACTCACAGCCTTTTTTGGTAAAATGAGGTATAGGACATATTCATTGTATGATTGAGGCACATATTTAAAAGGGCGTGGGATATTGATGACTTTATCTTTTTGTTCAGTTTACATCCAAAAGTCGATAGTATACAATAACCATCCATGGTAAAATGGTGTTTCATTCACGGTTTCAAATAAATCAAATGTTTATTATAACAGGTCTATTGCAACCGTTCTTTTTGTCTGTTTTTTTAGGTTGAAGAAATTAATGAACAAGCGCCCTTTGTATTATCGACAGTGTTTAGACACCCGGGTTGAAGTCAGAGCCTTGTTCCCCTTTAACGATATACATGTATAGCCTGGAGTCATTCAGACAGACCAAGGGCTAATTTACAAACATCTATCAACACGCAGATTGATGACCAATCGGGTATCACATTACACTGAGATTCCTCTCACTCCGGCGCAGCGATGACTCAGTATTACACCACTGAGCACGATGTCACGAATCGATTGAACGCATGACACTATGGGAAGGAGAGTGTGAGCTTTCTGTCCGACACAATGGCGTGTGACAAAGGA